GACATCTTTTCACGTAGCTCACTTGAAGGATCATAGAGACACTTCATATATGTTGGGCAATGGAAAAGCTAAATTTTATCCTGCGTGGTGGGAGGTTGATAAGGTTTGTATTTATTTTTGAATATTTTAAAGGTGTTCATAAATAAAAATTTGATGTGCGCAATTGAATTATTATTTATGATTGCAGGTGTTTATCCCTGTGTTGGAACGTCGTCATTGTCTTCTCGTCGAGCTTCAGCTCCCATCCCTGAAGACAATGGTATATGACAACATGTTGAATTACATACCATTGTCTGATTTGAGAGATATTATTTGTAAGGGATGGAGAGCTCATTTAGCTAAATACTTGGATGCGATTGATTATTGGACTAATTTCGGAAACAAGAAGCCAAAGAAGTTCAAAGTTACAATGATCAGAGACGAGACCGCGCCACAACAAACGCAGGGAGCCAGAGGGGATTGTGGTCATCTCATATGCATGTTCTTGGAATGTTTGACGACAGGAAGTAAACAGTTTCTACCTCCCATAGATAGAGATAGAGGTGCAATAGGCTTGTGGTTTTGGCATTTTATGGCTATAGCGATATATGCGAGACGCTGTCTACCTGCATCCGCGTGCTGAAAGTGTGCATAAACAATTGGTAAGTTTGAGCAACTGTTGTTAACATATATACTCTTTGTTGGTTTGAAAATGTTTGGTTAAGTACCTATAATTCAATAATTTGTTGTTTGTTGGTTTTAGATGTGTAGAAAGTGTTGTTTGAGCAAATGTTTGGTTTCTACAGGTTAATCCTGAAGTGAGCTGCATGAAATTGATGTATTTCTGCATAAACAACTGTCTGCGTGAAATTGATGTATTTTGTAAAAGTTGATTTGTTTAATTGATGTGTAAATAATTCTTATTTTTTTGCTTGTTTAATTGATTTGAAAAAGTTGATTTGTTGTTTTAAATTTCAATCTGTATTATGTTGAAGGAAAAAAAGACCCGTTGAATGTACACTTTCGCAACGCGAAAGTCAAATTCGCAACGTGAAAGTCAAATTCACTTTGTGATTTTCGCGTTTCGAATTTAACTTTCGCAACAAAAAATCTGATAAGTGATAACAACTGAACAGATTATAGCAATGTTCAAACTCAAGTTACTGATGAATGTCTAACTGAAATGTATGCATTCACACATAAAATACACATAATACAACGTTTGCATTTAAAAATCACCTAAGTTAATAAGTCCCAAAAGGTGAAGCCGGTTGTGATTGAGATTTTGATTGCAATTTTGATTTCCTTTTTCTTGGCACCATATGACTGGTAGACAATCTCGGCATAAGTTTGTCGATATACTTCTGTAGTGTAGCAATCCATAGCGTATGCGCTTGAATCATCTTGGTTTAGATGAAGAGCAACTTTTATAACATGGCCACACGGATAACCAGATGTTTGCCATTTCATACAACTACACGTCTTTGCATTTAGATCGACAAGCTCATTTAAGTTATTATCCAATACTTCAAACAAAGTGTTTGAACATGGTTCAACTCTCCATGACGTTGACTTCACAACACGTTTCGTTATCTTTTTTTCAGTCCATGGTGTAACACGGCGTTCCAATATTCCTGTAAATTTAAATAAATAATACTTAGTAAAATATATGATAAGTTACGAATTTAAAGAAATAATACCTGCATGGTTTCTTTTCTTGTAGTACCACTGTTGAATAGAGGCTCGAAAAAACTCCTTTAAAATAGTAATGGGTAATTTCCGGGAATGACAACTTAGAGCGTTGATTGATTCTGCACTATTAGATGTCATGAAACCATATCTTGCTCCAAGTTGTTGGTGTACTCTTAACCATCTTTCAAACCCGACATCTTCTAGTGTTTGAGCACATTGAGACAAAACAAGTCTTAAACAATTTATATGCTTATTAAAATCCACTTCCCGATAAGCTTTTACAGCATTCCAGTATGTCCATTTGTGTTTTTTTATACCACCAGACCTTGATTTTATATTTATGTACAAATGAACACCACAAAGTCAATGAAAAGCATCTGGGAAACACCTTCTAACAACGTTGTCAATTGAGTTTGCCTTATCGGATATGATTGTCAGATTGCTAATAGGACCTATGCAATCCCTAAGATGTCCCATAAACCATGTCCATGAATAAGAGATTTCAGATTTGTCAACCCCGTAAGTTATTGACAGTATCCCCTTGTTAGCATCCATGGCTATTGCTAATAAGTTTACTCCAAGGTATCGACCTTTCAAATGCGCTCCATCAACTATAATAACTGGGCGCATGCAAGTAATAAACGAACGAATCTACAAAATAATATACACAAGACATAATCATTTAAATGTGAAATGCATGTAACTAACAAAAATGAGTCAACAAAATTATATTGATTTACTAACCGCATCACCAATGGCGATAAACAACAACTCAAAGCGTCCATCTCTATCTGTTTTGATATGAGTTATCGACCCATGATTTTTTAGCTTTAAATTGTGACAATAAGCCGGCAGTTGGGCAAACGATGCTTCTGGAGACCCCCTCAACAATTCCAAGGCATAACATTTGGCTCTCCAAGCTTGAGAATATGAGATACTAATCTTGAACCGAGCATTCATGTCAGTCATAATTTCATGTCCCCAATATACCCTGCCATTCAAAAACATTAACTCAGCCAGAAAACCACCCAACACCTTTTTGTTTGCCTGTGTATGGTGAGGAAAAACTTGGGTTATTGAACATGTATGTTTATCAATAAAAGTCCTAACTTGAAACATTTCACAATCTTTTATCCTCTTTGCAATCATACGCCACGTACAGTTTTTGTCAATCATACACTTTGTTTCGAAACGATCTTTGCTTGATTTGTTAACTTTTAGTTGATAGTCATATTTCACACATTTCGTATACAAAACTATCTTCAAGTCTTCCTTTGTATCAAAACAATCATCTTTTTTGATACGAATAACTTTTGTGTAACAATCAACTGTTATCTTTACCAACTCTTCTTCTGGTATCTGAAGTAATTCTGACACATTCCAATTATACTCCCGTGGCATTTTCTTCTTTTTCTTTTCTTCGGGGACTTCTTCTTCTTCTTTTTCTTCTTCAGGGTTATATGAATTACAGAATAGATGTTCAACATGTTCATTCACAGTCGTAACTTCCTCCTCATTATTATCAACATCTTCCTCGGCATCGGCTGTTTCATCATCAAAATTCGGGTATTGACCAATATCAAAATCATTACACGCAGAGTCTGTTTCTTCTTCTGAAACATCATCAAAATTTGAGTATTGACCAAGATCAAAGTCCAGGTATTGACCAAGATCAAATTTCGAATACTGACTAGTACTCACAATTTTTTCTGTTGGCTCATAATTGTCTAACTGGTCAATACGAAAACCGGAATTTGGTGCTGAAAGTTGATTGAGAATTGGATTAGGAAAAGGTTGCGGGTTTTGAGATTGTGTTTGATATTGTGTTTGGTATTAGAAATGTGGTGAAATAAAATTTTCTTGGTGATGAAATTGTGGTGGAACCATTAAATTTTGAGGTTGATAACAACGTTGTACATTGTGAGCATCATAAACTGGGGTTGAAGAACTTAATTGATTACTACCCGCTACTGACTCAATTTCACTACTTCTAGGTTCAACAACATACAATGTAACATCATCTTCTTGCGAAATACTAATGTAAGCAATGAATCGTTCAACATCTTCATTGTCGGTTAACAAATAAACTTTACATTTTCTCTGATAAGATAGCCTAAATCCACTTAGAGGGCTCTAAATTCAATTTCTTTTCAATACGTAACATTAGAGTTTCATAAGTTAACTTTTTTAATGACAATTTTAGTTAAAGATTCATAGGTAAAAGTATATATTGTAAAACACCATGAACATTCTTCCAGGACCCTAAAAAACACAAATATATCCAAACATGATCAACATTAGATGATTTCATTCTATTAATTGTAATTTAATTTACTAAACAAACGAGCTATAAACTACATATCATCACTAACTTAGAGAAAAACATACTTTTATTAAGTTGATAGTTGATAATTTAGAAGAGAAATCATTGAAAATTATATAGAAATAAAATTATGTAAAAAAAATTAGAGATAGAGAAAGATGTCGTTAGATATAAGAACAGATGTCGCCGGAAAGAGTGATAGATGGAGATGAAATGAGTTACGATTTAAAGATTTAAGTTATGAGTTGTTGTTGCTGCGTAGTTATATACCTAAAATATTTGTGTTGCGAAATTAAAACTTGTTACGAAATTAAAATTCGTGTTGTGAATTCGAAAATCGAATTATAAAAATAAAATTCACGTTGCGAATTTAAAATTCAATATTACGAATTTAGAAAATCAAAATTTGGAAACTGAATTACGAAATTAAAAAATCACAATTTAAAAAATCGCAATACAAATTTAAAAATTAAGTTACGAAATTAAAATTCACGTTGCGATATATTCAATATCATGTTACGAATTTATTAGTTATTTTCGTAAATCCTAAAAAAAATCAATTAAAATCGTATATTATAAAATATTTTCGATCACTAAAATTATTTTATCTAATATAATAAAATGAAACTACTGAAATATACCATAATCTAGAGTTTAACAAATTCACTTCAATTTACAAGTACTAATATATATATATATATATTTTGTAATGTTCTTTTTTTCAATCAAAATAAGTATTTAAATTATTATTTCATAATAATTTTATATTCACATGTTAAAAAGTAATAGTATTATACTTTTTTAATAAAATATTTTTTATATAAAAAATTTATTAATAAATTATCTTAAAATATTTTTTATATTTTTATTATAATTTCAATTGTCATATTTTATAATCATAGTATTAGTAAATATAAAAAATAATTTAAATTATACATTTTTAACTTACAACATAAAACCTATAATAAAAATTTTAATTTTTTAAACTCACTTTTTAATAATAATATTTAACGATAGAATTTTAAACTATATTTGTAAACAATATTTTAAAAATATAGTTTTACATCACTTCTAAAAATCATTTGCGATCTTATACTTAAAATCAACTTGATGTTTGTGCATCACCGGTACCGCACTTGCCATCTTTCAAAGTTTGTCATTTCTAATGGCAACAAATAGATCATGATCACAGCATTTCCACAATTCTTCTTTACCTGCCAAAGGGGTCCAGCAACAGTACCATAAACGCCAAACTATCTTTTTCACTCACCTCAATAATGTCGATTCATTTTTAATTTTTTTTTTATAAAAAAAAACTATAGATACATTGACAGATAAATTTAATAAAACTAAGGCTTTGATTAGATTAAAATAATATATTTATGCAAATCATTACAACACACATTTATTTATTTAAGAAAATATAGCCGGCCGGATATTGGATGACAAAACGTTCATTGATTAACAAATACGGTGGGCTTGGTCATCGCTACTCGCAGGAAAAAAGGGCCAACTAAAGTTTTAGGCAGATCTCAAAACACATACTATACAATAAGTACTTGAGACATTATCAAAACACCATTAGAAAACAGCACCTTAGCATATTGAACCTCGAAAAGAACAGAGTATTCACATGATGCAACCCTGGTTCACGAGAGCAGCCTTCTCCGAGGCCGCCTGTGAGTGGCCAGCCACTCAGCGATGCTTGCTCTTTGTCTCCCCACTGTAAAGCCTGTAAATCGCATGCCAACCAAGGACTTAATCTTAGTACACTTTTAGCTTTGCGACCTAGAAATTATATTCAGAATCCAAATAAAATTGATTAAAAGTTTTATATTAGTTTTTCTTTTTTTGAGGTAAAGTTGTGTTACTTTTTATTGCAAGTAATCAAGAAGAGGAAACAACTAGTGTTATACCATATACAAGTATGTATACAGATAAAAATGAATTATTTCCACGCAGCTACCAAACAAAGAGCCAAGTTTTCCTGCCTACTCTGTCTCTGAGCCTCCGTTTGGTTGCTGAGAAAACGTAGAGAACAAACATAGGAAATTCCTTGAGGATTCTGTTTTAAATTTTCTCATTTTCATTATGTTATGATTTTTCAAATAAGGAAACAGTATGTTAAGTAAATATCCAGTTAATGTCACCCTTGCGATGATTAAGTTGAATTCATTTATCTCAGTAAACAAATGGATGAAAATAAGATCGACACAAAATACTAATATCACCTTAAAAATAAATAACAACCTAATATAGATTTTCTACTCCGTCCACGAACGTACCAGTCATAGACAGTTGGAGAGTTAGGTTGTGGCCTGTCGTACATATCAGCACCAATACTTTTGGTAGCAAGATTGCTACCAGGATGGAAGACGCTCCTCCACACGTTCTCCTTACGCGGCGTCGGAGTCGTCGGTGTCACGGGTGTCGGCGTTGCCCCTGGACTCATCGGTATCGACCACGACCTCTGGAACCTTTTCCCTTCTCCGTCATCTAACCAAAACACACACACACACACGGATATATATATATTCAGTCACTCAAAAGACTTACCGAAACTTATCAAATCCATGCAAATTAATACTAGGATCATTTTACCTTTGATGGTCAAGGGCTGGGTGGTGATCTTCCTAAGCTTGCCGAGACCACGCTCGGGTTGAGGCCCAGCTAGAACATCGTCCCACATTTTATCTAGCAGAACCATTTTCCTCTCTATTTTGCTTTCTCTCCTCTGTGATGTTTTTGATGGGTGGGATCTAGTTGGTCATATATATATATAGCTAAAAATATCTTCTCTCCCTCTTTCCACAACGAAGTTACGAAGATGGGCTTTTGGCTATTGCCAATTATATACGAGTCTAGACCTAATTAGCCTCACAAATAGTCCCGGAATATTTAGGATATTTTCATTTTAATCATCGAAATTGAAAATCTTTCATTGAACTCATTATCATTAATAAAAAATTTATTTTAGTCACTGAATCATTAAACCATTGATGCAATATGTTAAGAAATCCTTAAAAAAATTAACAGCCAAAATTCCTCTTTTTGTCACCATTTTCACTGTTGTTGGTTTCCTCAATGAAAAAAGATCATCAAACTAGTCCTTTTATTATTCTCTTTCTTTTCTTATGTTCAAGTTTATTGAAAAATCTCCTAATTTTCTTAAATTTCAATAGAAACTAAAAGCTATTTTTTATTTGTCACTATAAATCATCGAATTATCTTGAACCTGAACCATGTTAATCTTTTGATTCAGTAGAGTCTTCTCATCATTGAGATTAACTATGGATTGACGTTCATCGAAAGCTTAATCTTTACGAGAGTTGATAATATAAAACCTTATGAGTTTTATATGAAGAAGACTTTAAGTCATGCTAGTTTTTTTGTTAAATGCAAGTAATGCCAATGGTCATGATAAAAATGAATTACAAATAATGATTCTAATGCAAAATCTAAAAGTTTAGTAATCAAAATGTAAATATCTTAAAATTTCAGCAATCATCCATGTAATTTACCTAAAAAATTAATTAGGTTAATGAATGGTGGTTGAATATTGGCAATAGAAGATTGAAGAGCGGACATATAAACACGTCCAAAAGAGAGGAGATAAGGATGAGATTGAGGAGGAGGGACCCACAAAACATCATCAACACTATTTAATATTGATATGACAAGAGTAGGTTGGTATGTTGATTCACAAGTGTAACACTTATATACAATTGTTTGTCTTATCCCCAAGACCCATTGCTTTAACTGGGGTCCACAAATAAATAAAATGATAGTTAATGTGCTTCGAGATTGACACCTGGCTCCCATCCCCATTCTACTATAATCACGATCCTCGGCGGGGTCATCACTACAAGTGTATTTTAACATGGTCTCGATGATTTTATATTTGAATATCGCAGGTCTGGGACTGCCCTTGGGCAGGGGAAGGATTTGGATGCTGAATCTTAAGGACTGTCTTTTATTTTAGATTGATGCGACAGATATTGAATTATGAAGCTATTCCGAGTGCATCCAGCATCAGGGAGGCAACTTTTCTGAGTGGTTATCGAATTTTTCTCTTAAACAAATCAATCAGTATATATATAGATGTTTTTTGTTGAAAAAATACGAGTAAAATATTTAATTTTAAAATAATAATAATTTATTATGTATTTAATCTAAAAATTAGGAAGAGACAAAAATCCAATTTACTCAAATAAAAATTGATAAAGATTTAAAATACAATTAAACTAAAAGTTTCGGGAGGGGCTCTCCTTATGTAACTCTGTCCCTGAAGACATACATTTACATCTGTTCATATTTTACAGATGACATTTACTAAGTTTCAAGCGATATTACATAATCCACATAATACAAGTGAACTTTCAATTGTTTATTCCATCAAACTTGTAGAAAGTTTAACTTGAGTTCCTTAGAAGATCTCCTGGCATGCAAGCCAAAAAGATTAACATACTCTCTTATACTTATATCGTTGGATGATAACTTTACTATCAACAAAATTTTACAACAAATGAAACTTCCTATAATTCCAAAAATATTACAAAGTGTGAGAATGAAGAAAACAAATAGGAGAGATGATTTTTTGGGATGAATTACAAATGAATATGATTATACTTATTTATAGTTGAGCTTCAAAGATCAACATACAAATAACCAAATAGTTTAGAGACCAAAGATGAATTTTTCCATGTACACATGTTGGCAACTTGCCAACTTGAATCAAATTGTAACATTTGATATCCATCATAGCCACTTGTCAACATGAATTCTTTGGTGGTATCAAAATCAAACTTGAGTTCTTTAGCTGTAACAAATTTGAACTTGAATGCCTTTCTTCTTCAGCTTCAGGCAATCTTTCTTTCAATGACATTTCTCATGACAAAAGACACATTTATCTTTTCTCAGTCTCGACTTCGACTTTGATCTCACTTTCAACTTTGGCTTTTGACTTTTTGAGTGACCTCTTGCCACGATGGCCTCTGCTGTTTCGCATTTGTTCTCCTTCCTAGTTTTTTTAAGCCCATAACTATACAAAACAGTAGTTACATCTTTAATGGTAACTTTATCCTTACCATAAAGTAACATCGTCTCTAGGTGCTCAAATTCATCTGAAAAATATGACAACAATATTAAAGTCAAGTCTTCATGTTTTAAGGTTTTATCCATGCCCAATAAATATGTTACTAATTCACTGAAGGCAATGGATGTGTTCATTCATATTGGTGCTTGATTGATAATTAAATCTCAACATTCTTTAGGAATTTTTCCTCGAATGATTTCCACGGCTTACTTGCAGAAGTCTCGTTCTTGTAGCCATACTTTTACTCCTTGGAAAGACAAGATCGAATCGAGTTGCATGCCGAACGATTGATTGTTCCTCGTTATTTCTCCTCTATATATGTGGGCTTTTCTTCCTTAATGGAAATGTCTAGATCTTGTTGGAATAAAATGTCTAACACCTCACCTTGCCACATGTCGAAATGACCGAATCCATCGAATAACTTCATCAAGAAGTTTGCATTTGACATCACCCTCCTCATTAGACTGGATGAAGAGTTTGATGTCTCAATTAAACTGTATTTTGTCATTTCAATGCCAATAGACAATATTCAACACCACAAGCTTGATATTTTTCAGCAACAAGACCACCAAAATAACGTTAATTGAAGTTTTGATACCAATTGAACTGTATTTTCCACACGAACGTAGTTTCAAAATTAATCTAAATCGTCAATGTCAAAACTATCAAAATTGCACAACGGACAAACCCGTCAAACTATGGAATATTGAAACACAATGAAAACTCAATAAAGAACAATAATGGATAGAACACACTATTATCATATACTCTTTGGGCACCACCAATGGATGATAATTTTCACTATCAACAAAATATTACAACTAGTGAAATTCCTTATAATTAATATTACAAAGTGGGAGAGTGTAAAAAACAAATAGGACAAATGATTTTGTGGGATGGATTACAAGTAAATATGGTTAGGCCTATTTATAGTTGAACTTCAAGGACCAACCTACAATTAACCTAATAGTTTAGGGACCAAAGATAATTTTTTCCGTGTACACAAGTTTACAACTTGCCAACTTGAATCAACTTATAATATTTGATATCCATCATAACCACTTACTTGTCAACATGAATTCTTTGGTGGTAGCAATATTAAACTCGAATACTTTTGTGGTAACAAGTTTGAACTTGAATTCTTTGATGGATATCAATTTTGACCAACACTTATTGGCTTTCCAACTTGTAGGTTTGTAAAATTTCAAGTCACACATAACAAATTGTTATCAAAACTAATGAATATTGAAACATAATGAAAAAAATCCAATAAATAACAATAATGGTAAGAACACACTAAATTTATGAGGTTCAACGAAATATTGTCTACTCTTCAAGTACTACTATGATAACTTCACTATCAACAAAATATTACAACAAATGAATTTTTTTAGAATTCTCAAAATATTACAAAGTAAGAGGAGAAAAAAAAATGGGACCAGCATTACATTCAGGGACCAATGGCCCTTCCAATGAAGAATCGCCTCGAGTTGGTGGATATGCTACATTCAGGAATCAGGAGGGATGCGCCTTGACTACAAAATGAAAATTTAAGAGGCATCTCTACTACATGGGGATAATCAATGCTATCTGACAAAAAATGATGGTGGAAAGGGTACCGATGGTTCTCAGTCGCCTGAAGAAAATTTTATTCCATATTCAGCAAAACGCAATGAATCCCTAGTAATATCATTGAAAGGAAAGTTTTCTTGTTCAAAATTAGAGAAAGGGAAGAGCCTTGCAGCAAGAAAGACATCCGGGGGAAGTATGTCGTTCTCTGTTACTGTCCAACAAGAGAACATACAGTTGGAGAAGAATTGAAACACGAAAATTTTGTTTTTATTGCCCAATGATGCATTTGAATCACTTGATGAAGGTATATGCTTAGTAAGAAAACTACTTCCGAATGTAGAACTACCTAAATCATTCCGCAAACAAGGCCATACATATAAACTCTGGCCCATACTATTTTTTTCTTTCGTCTTAGATGATCCAAAATTATCTATAGGAGCGGGAATCTGTTGACAGCCAAGAGAAGTGCCGATAAATTTAGGTTTTTTTTGGCCCATTAGGGCAGCCCAATTTTTTTTTAAAAAAATAGCCCACAAACTCTTTTATTTTAAAATTTACGACATTTTCTACAGTGCATGAAATTGTCATCTCGTGAAAAGGCCTAAAGTCTCATGGCAGAAACTAATATGGTTTCCCCTACATATTCTTAAACATAGTTTGATAACTTGGATGGCTTTTCTGGATAAACTCCCTACCAAGGAAAGGCTTCATCGAATGGGACTTATTAATGATTGCTTATGTGTTTTTTTGCAATATTGAACTGGAAACTAGAGAGCATCTCTTTTTAAAATGCCCTACTGGTGCCCTTCTATGGGAAATTGCTTTTACTCTTTCTGGTCTGCAGTTTACAGTATGTTATTGGGATGCCTTTGTGGAGAGGGCACGCTCAACATGGAGGGGTCAATCAATGCTAACAACGATCATGAAGCTGCTACTAAATGCTCTGGTTTACTTACTCTGAGAGGAACGGAACAAACAAATGTTCCAAGGTCGCTCAAGGTCTGCTAGTGAATTATTAAAGGTTGTCAAAGATGTAATTAGTTTATAACTTAGGGGTAGGATTTTTAAAAGAGTAGATGTGAATATTTCACTTTACAATCATTGAGAAATAATTGATTACTGATTAATTTGTATGTATTGTTCTGTTTTGGACCCTACATGTATTCTGTAGCATCTTTGCTATTCCGGATAATAATATACTTACTCTGGACTAAAGGGGATATCTAACTCATTCGTGCAATCCATCATAGGTGAATTAGTCAACCCAGTCCAATTTTTTTGAGCCATAGCCTATAGGTGACAACTGAAGAAAGCAGAGTAGGAAAGCCCAAACTCTGAAAACCCCGAACATAGCAGACTTGAGCGAATGGGGAAGACGCTGTGACCAACGGGGGAATTCTTCAAGAGGAGGGACGAGTGGAGGAAGCATCCGATGCTTAGCAACCAGCTCCGCCACGCCAACCCTGGGATAGGCATCGTCCTGGTCGCCTTTGGCATTTATCTGGTCGGGTAGCAGGTCTACAACAGGGTTTATGCTCCTCCCTCTTCTCATAATCATCACCAACAATCTTCTTCTCACTCTTATTGAGATCAGGTCTTTCCTTTTTCTCTCTTTCATTATAATTTGGGTTTCAGATCAGGCCTACTCTCTAGATTTAACTCTGATGCTCTTATTATATCTGTTCTGTAATCAAAATTGTTCTCGAGATTTGGGTTTTTTGATATCTCTCCGCATTCTGGTTTGAAACCAGTCATAATTTATTTCTTTACATTTTAAAATTTTTAAATCTTGAATTGATTTTGCTTTTTATTTTAAGATTTTAGGGCATTAGGATATCGCAAACATGTAAGACTGATTTTATGATGTGCGGAAATATGGATTGGTAATGGCAGATCTGAGATCTGTTACCATCAGTATAAGAGCGGGATTATTATCATCCTAATTAAAAAAGGGTTAACTACACCGAAGCCTGTCTGACTTGCGCCAAAAACTCATTTTGCTTCCCTGACCTTTCATAATTTTCAGTAGTTTCAGTTTTCATCTTCCGTTAAGTAGATGAAACAATGTTATCTTGCCATAAAAAAATTTTGTGCAATTGATGAAAATTGTCCACATTGTCACTATGTAGCAGGCACAAACCGTTTTTATGGGTTGAGAAAACAAATTGACAGATCTGCTGTTGTTTTTATTTCAGTGAGCTATAAAACAAATAATTGTTTTCTCAAGTAATTTTCCCAGCAAACAAATAGGAAAAATGTAACAGCTTGACATTGTACAAAACCAAGCCTTGTGGGTAGTTTATTTACTATTAGCCAAAAAGAGAAGGTTCATCCACAACTTCAAGCTGCTTTTGCTTTCTTGCAGTAATTTTCTAGCCAATCCATTGTAACACTTTTCGGCCTTTCGAGGGGCAATCCTAGTGCTCGGTCCCATATAAGCTGAACCAACAGAAAACAAAATAATTAAACGCAAAGCAACACCTGGCGATTCACATAATTGCAGATGAAATATTGCAGCAAGAAACAAACCTGAGAGCAAATTCCAATACTCCTGGATACACCAAAAAGAACGGTATAGTATCTGCGCATGAAGTTCAAAAATACTTTATCCTTGAAAATGAAGAATTTCTACACCACTAGCAACACTATTCATGTTTCCCGAAGAATGAAGAGTAGTAAATGTTCATACTATATGAAAGAAAAGCTTCAGACGGTACCTTGCTTCAGTCAAACCAAAATGGTTCAGCAGCACTCCACTGTGTGCATCAACATTGGGCCAGGGGTTTTTAACCTACAAAGCATCCCAGAATTACCAATTCAGGCATTGGATTCCAATTTAACATAATATAAACAATTTTCATTATAGCTAATCTTGTTTACGTTGAAGTGTCAGTTCAATTTCCAAATAATATCCTAATATTCAACAAAACAATATAAATTTTGTAATAAATTGGCAATTTTAATATTATAAAAAACACAAACTTAAAAAACATACAAATTAAATAGGTCAGAACCATAAGTTCAGTTGAAGAACCCATGTCCAACGGATACGGGTATGGAGGTATGACCTTTCAACTACATAAATTAAAAACATATTCACGCCAAATGCATAGCCGGATGGCAATACCTGAAACTCATCAGAGTTCAAGTAACACATGCTTTAACGTCTACATCCGCGAGATGATGAGGACTCCTACCTAACATATTTTCTAAATTTTACCATTCATTTCAAATAATAAACCAAGCCAACAACGATTCCAGATTCTATCTGTTAACAATAGATTTACACGGTCTTCTGAACTTTACCATTGCACTCAAGACCTTTATTCTGTGATGTGTTAAAACATGCAGCATGTCTTTTAAAGATTTCTACTCAGAAAGTAAATCATAAATTACCTTGCCTAACTCAGTAAGAATAGGAGGCACCACCTCATAAAGTTGTGAAACCTGCAACAATGAAAATTATGTCATCTTAGTAACAAACTAGAAGTGAAAACCGTAGCAGACAAAAGACAATCATTAACATTCAATCATCAAGGCATAAGTGAGAACCAGCTTGAATAAGGGATCATCAGGCAAGTGCTTTAATGCAAACTCCCTCTGACACATGTATCTTGGATCAGTTTTACGCAGCACTCCATGACCAAATCCTGGTACAACCTGCAGACAGGAAGTACATTGAATTAAGACAACAAAGATGATCTAATTGAGCTTCTAATAAAAACTGAAAATAAATGGTGCTATGTGTCATATGAAGGATGTTAAAGCCCCCTTTTTGCTCAAGTCCAAAACCGAGGATCTCATAAGGTAAAACACAATCTTAGTACGACTTCAAGGAAGGTAGCAAAAGAGCTCAAACAAATAGAAATTTCAAAAGCAACCACAAGATGCTTATAAGCACTGAATTGTTTTCCTTATGAGGTCAATCAGATATAGCAACGAATAATGATAATGATGAAGCAGGAATGAAATTTACACATCTACCAAGTGTTACAGATTTACGATATCACCAGATAGACAGGTGCTGTAGTAAACGCTTTGAGGCAGAAGAATTTTCATAAATTGCTAAACTAAATCTTGTATTCAGATAGACTTCAGACAATACCTTGCCACCATTCAGTGTCTTCCAGACATAGTCTTTAAGCTGCTCTTTGGATATGTTCTCTCCACACTCATCTACCACAGATTTGATCCACAGTAACACTTCCTGCAATGAAACATTTAGCAATAAATCACGAGGATGCAGACTTGCACATAGTTTCAGATTCAAGCTCAGAAACATCAGGGATGATGCATTAACCCAATTAAAAGGGTAAATACTATTATGATGGAAATAATCAGGAGGTTTCTATGCTAGATTTTCATTGTTTAGACGATTCCAAGCTGTAATAGTGGTTTTGCAAAGATTAACAAATTTAGCAAGATAGACAAACAATATAAAAGTTTGAAGTAAGGCTATTTGCTTCTATGAGTAATGTAAGGGTAGGTAATTGCATGGAAAGCACCAAGGAAAAATCAGGCTCCAAAGAGATCAATGACACCCATAATAGGTCTTGGGGACCCATTGCATAGTTATGCACTTTTTTCTTTTAGTTTGTATAAAATGGTGGAAGGGAATTTGAGACAGAATGAACCCATCTACAAGAATATGATATAATCATATCATAGGAAGTTTATGAATGATAAATATAACTATTATCTTCCACTCAATAACTTTTGGCTGCAATAAGCATCCAGGTACAAGCAGTGATTGAATTTTTAACCATTGCCTAAAAGACTTTGCAAAGTCGAATCACTTGAAATTTACCGTTACAATCAGATAAAGACCAATAAAAATTTAAGAACTTACGGACAAACTTCGCAAAACAAACCTTTAGAAGCAAAAAAGCATATTGCTCTACATAAGACATAATATTTGCTAAAACCTAGTTATAGAAAAATGGAAGGCAACTCAAAGTCTGAAAGATCTAATACCTGATTAGCCAGACCATGAAGTGGCCCAGCTAACCCATTCAGTGCAGCTGCGAAGGAAAGATAGGGATCTGAAAGGGCACTGCCCACCTGAATTCAGATCATCCATACAAACAAATTTTAGAAAAAGCACCAAACATTGGTCAGATTAGCATAAGCATGAAAAAAAGGCTATAACCATACTAATAACCAAAATTTGTAACTTACCAAATGGCCAGTATGGGCGCTAACATTTCCACCTTCATGATCACTGGAGCAAGAGATGAAAGCCGTAACATTAAAGTGACACATGTTATTTGACCAAAAATGATGAGTTGATGACAAGATATCATATTGGTAAAAATTAAAAGTAAATACAAAAACTCAAATTCTGCATAACTGTATCCCATAAATCATATGCTCTATAGAAGATTAACAAAAACAAACCTATGAATAGTGACATAAAGCCTCATAAGCTCATGCATTTGGGGACTACTGAATCCCAGCATGTGCGAAAAATTTCCTCCATAATCCAGCGAGTCATCCATGGGAATGAATTTTCCATCTTTATACATCCTTCAAAATCAAAGATAAGAGAACATAGTTTAAGAAACAGAACTTTATCAAACAAGGATCACAAGGATCAGGCTAAAATGGACTTAAACGGTACGACAGATCATCACATTGGTAAAGGACCACTTTAGCATTGTCTCTAATTTGGGTTAGGTATTTGGAATTGCAAACTTATGTCCAAGTGTTACAGCCTCTGTCTACAAATTTGTTAGGCGTGTTTTTAACTGAGAATTGGATTATTGAAATTTTTGTTTTCAGATTTCCTCTCTTCATTCTCTCAGGTTCAAATTCTTTCATTTCTTTTCTCTATATTTCCTGTTATCTCCCTAAAATTCCTAGATTCAACATTTTCTGCCTCTTTCTCTCTTCTTGCTTTACATCACTCAAAAGCACACAAACAAATAGCTGCAAGATTCCAGAACACTAAAAGAAAAATTTACAGACCAAACTTATCCGACAACTTATCTGCACTATAGACAAGGTATTCACTAACCTTCTATAAACATAAGAAGCTACGAATGGCACACGAGCAATCAAACTAAGAGCATCTTCATATGTTGGCTCCCAATACCTGAACGAAATATAATAAATATAAGGATGCATGACCCCTAGAAAGTTGAGTTATGACATCATAGCATAGCATCTCAAAAGACCTTACTTTGCCTTTGAAATTCCTTTCTCATATGCTTTCTGAAATTCACTTTGAACCTGAAAGATTAAAGTTCTTCAATTTAGATACATGCATATGAACTTAATAATACAAGCTTGAAATACTGCCACCATAGATTTAAAGCATTATATTTACACCCAGAAGATAAACCTAGGATAAAGAAGTCTATCCGAATAAGGAAAGAATAGAACCAGAATAGAAAATATAGACATTCATCAAAGAAAAAACCATATACATAAAGATTATCCAGTTAACTCTCAATCTCAATGCCATCTGGTTATTAGAAAGTGATGTTTTCTAATTACCATGAGAGGAAGAAGGAGGACATCTAGTCTAAAATGACAATTTTTGTCTATACACATAGGGATCTTCAAATACATAATAGTTCAAACTCCAGATCAACCTTGCCAACATGAGCATGTGAACTTTTGAAGAACAAGAGCTATTGTCAAAGGTCATCCTGTCCATCTCACCAAACGAGATGATTAACAAGTTAACAAAAACAATAGAACTAAGGAGTTGCAGTTCCTCTAAGTTTATCTTATGTATGAAACTGAAGAACAAAGAACATCAACTTTTTTTACTTAAACCAATGCAAGATTAAGCATAGTATAGTAACCTGGAGTGCCATAACACCAGTTGCAAATTGAGTCATTGGATGTGTTGAGACAGGTAGAGCATCAATGGCCTTGAACACGTAATCTATAACCAAATAGAGAAATCCAAGAAAAGTAAGAATTGCACCGTTTGAGTAAAGAGAGAGGTAGAAGTAATTTAATGTTTACACCAGCAAGGAATAATGAAGAAGCTACAAACCTGGAACAACAGCACGGTCACGCAGTTCCTGAGATAAAGCATCCACCTGAGCTTTGCTTGGCACCTGAGGTAAAGGAGGAAAGGGGTAAATCATCAACCAATACAGGCCAAAATAAAATACACTGTCATTACTAGAACCTCATGCACAATTGCACACCTTTCCAGTCAAAAGAAGCCATAAAAGACCCTCAGGCAAAGGTTCTCCATCTGGCTTTGCACCTGGCAAAAGCTTTTGACACTCGGGAATAGACAAACCCCTAAAGCGAATTCCCTAAAAAAAAAAGAAGACAACCTTTTAGAACTATCAGATAAATGTTACTTTATGTTCCAGTAATTACCATGACTGAGTATCAAAGTCTGCTCAAAACCCTGTTTTTGATGGTAAGTGAATGAACCATACCTCATCTGGGTCAAGTAATGAGGTTTCCCAAAGCAGCCCTGTCATTCCTCTCATTCCACCAATGACCTTTCAAACACAGTGCAGTAATCAGTTAATGCAAAACCCAAACATTTATTCACAAGTCATTTAAATATTTCCAACTTTGAACAGAGAAAAGCACATTCACTAGTACAACATTTGAAACATAAATGTTGTACCATATCAACAGTGATATTCCCAAGTTGTACTTTTCCATGTTCTGCCCTCAGTTTCTTCAGGCGCTCCTGGAAAAAAAAACCAACAAGCCATTTAGTGAAGGAAAAGTTGAAGCTGGCTATGTTCTATAATCATTGGGGGAACCACGCAGATGATAGAATATCCTCCAGCTGGATAAAATTGGGATAAAGGATTAAAAGTTAACATTGAGAGTCTTCAACAATTTATCAATGGAGTGACATGGATAACAAATCGTTATAAATTAAGCAGTGCTGGCTCCTATAGTAACGATATCTGAAGCTATCTTAAAAGGACAAATGGAACCCCATTGAGACAAACAAAACAAACCTGTTGTTCTGGAATCAATTCCTTTAACTGCGAATGAAGATCCTGTAAAGGCCCCAAAGATGTTAATTAGCAAATATAAGTGAGGGTGAACACCAGCAAAAGCTAAAAGACCAAATGGGAAGAGCACGTAGTAATTGTACCATTTGGAAGTCAAAATATACAACTAAACAGTAAAGATAAGATTGCCACTTTCGGGCAAGGATTTGAATAGCATCCACAACGTGCCATTGTGACCCCTATTATGCAGTTTTGGCTCCTCCCATCACAAATAATAATAATAATAATAAAAGTGTAGCAAGAGAAAAGAAAAACAACTCACAACATCGGAAGAGGTCTGCGTTTGAAGCCATCTAACAGAGGTGCTGAGATTGGAATGCTGTTTCTGCATCATAAAGAAATCCAATATATAGGAACTTAAGCAAACTGCTTACTGGGAGAAAAAAATTATATGGTAAATCAGACAATCGCATCGAACTTACCACACGGGATCTTAGCCTATATAGCGCTGATACACCCTTCAAAAATACCATTGCGGACTACAAAAGGAAACAAACAATTAGAATACAAAACTCCAGCCCACACCCTTTCTTCTTCAACGGTTTTTTTATCTTTGTTAGGTTAGAGTAGTTCGAATTTCCGATTATTTGTCAAACATAAATGAATAAAAAATAATCAAACAGAGCAATATATACAAAATAAAATGAAGGTATATGACCAAAGACTTGATCTGCAGAAAATGGCAACTACAGTTAACAAATGTTACCTTCTCCAAAGATCTGAGTAGCAATAAGATCCAAACAACTCAGCGGAAGAAAAATAGAGATGATACAAAATTAACTGGTAATTAGACGAGTTACAAAGGGTAAGAGCAAACAAATCGAGCCTAAGGAAGAAATTAAATGATCGTTGCTCGAGTTAGATAGGGAAGGAAGCATACCGGTCAGACAAATACAGCGAAGATGGCAAGTGGTACACGCAGATTTTGGAGTTCTTTTTTCGCTTTATGATCTGTATTTGAAATTATTCGGGATTTATCAAATTCCGCTAGTACCCTCCTTTGGCCCTTATTATTTGAAATGTCTGTCCGGCTAGATGCGCCCACCACTCAACACTAAACTGCCATTTTCTCTTCTCTAGAATATTATTCTAAGGGTAAAGTATAGTAATGGTCACTAAACCTTTCTAAAGCTTTCATTTAGGTATCCTAACTTTTAAAACTTACAATATAATCCCTCAATATTTAGTCCGTTTGCAATATGGTCCCTCAACATTTAGTATGTTTGCAATATGGTCCTCGACGTAACTTTTGGGGGATCATATTGCAAACGGACTAAATGTTGGGAGACTGTATTGAAAATTTTAAAAGTTAGGAGACCTAAATAAAAGCTTTAGAAAAGTTCAGTGACCATTGCTATACTTTACCCTTTCTTTTTTTGGTTAAAAGCAGATGATTTCAACGAGGAGGAGCAAGTGCTGAGGCAATTTGATATGAACATGGCGTTCGGACCATGCATTGGGATACCGAGGCTTGATCGCTGGGAAAGAGCTCAAGCTATGGGTCTCAACCCTCCCAAGGAGATTGAAAGCATTCTCAAACGTGGTAAAGTGAAACCACAATCTTTATTTGATGATCGCATTTAGTGGGTATTTTATTACGTTCAGATGATGAAATCATTGTACATATTCTGGATTTTCTCCTTGAACGTTGTCATGAAACTGTGAAGATTTGCTGCTTTTAAATGGACAGATTACAACTCTCCAAACTCTTCTTTAGTTTCCTTCTAAAGAACATATGGAAATAATCAAGAGGGAGAAATTGCAAAACAAGATTCTAAAGTAATTAGGCTCAAAATAAATGCCCCAGATTATTTGACATATCTGGAATTCGCTGACTAAACCAAACACATGACAAAGCATCATCAATCAATGACAAAATTTAAGCTCAAAAGTGTTGTAAATTGAGAGAGAAAAAAACAAGGTGGTATGATGCTATGGTAACTGAAGCAAGTGTTTCTCAACAACCGCTCTCCCAAACTTCTCCTGCATGTCTTTTGGTGTTTCAACCTACACAAACAATAATGCAATTACTTATGTTATTCAGGCTGTCCCAAAAGCAACTTGTTTCAAAACCCTATTCCATTTATGTGGGTGGTCGAGTTATTTACTGCATCGAGGGCTTTAAAAACAGCCTTGACAGTGTTGTGAGGATTCCTTGAGCCAATAACCTGAGAAGATAGTTCAGATGAGCCTATAAAAAGTTGAATTCTAAAAACCATTGTAAGGAACCCCAAGAATCTTCAAATGAATGAAGAATCCAATAAAACCCGAGTCCGAGTACATGGAAGCGATATCGCTTGATTACCTTTGATTTGATATTGTTAAAGCCAGCTAAAAGCAAAATGTTTTCAACAGTTCTTCCAGCTCTCATACCCGATGCAGTTGGTGCAGGCCAGAGATAGACCTACCAAAAGCATAAATGGTTTGAAGTAGAATGAATGCAGAGAAACTGGAGCATCAACAAACGTGAACAATTAACTCAACTGTAAAAACCAAGATTGAGATTAAAATGGTTATAAAAATGAGAGAGTAATGTGCACCTTAGTCTTCTTATATGATTCTTGAATTGCATGGGCTATAGTGTGCTCTTCGTGTCGTTCAATATAGTGAAGATTCTGAAAGCATTTCTCATGTGCCTGTTGTAGGTTACATGAGTCGGTACATATCACGTAAATTCATCAAGCTATTGACAATGATATAGAAGAACATGGTCATGGTAGACAACATTGATGATATTATACATCTTTCAAATTAAATTGATTTCAATACTGCATCCCAGAAATCATAGCATCATGGTAAGAAAGAAATCATAGCTGAAACTTATTACGATTACCAGGACGTAAAACCAGCCTGTCTGAATAGACCAGATTTACCAGTCAAGTAATAGAAGATAAAGAATCGATTCACCTATTGTTGTGAAATCAGCCAATAACCACAGACAAACACACACACAATAGGAGTCTAAACACTGATCAAGATTGAAAAACAAAGCAGTAATCAAGAACACCAAATATTTACGTGGTTCGGTCAGAGTGACCTACATCCACAGGAAAGAATCAATCTCACTAAGGCAATTAAAACAAAGTTTACAAGATTTAGAACCAGAACTAAACCTCTATCTCTAAACCTCTCTTCTAATCTGTTTTTATCCCTCAAACCCTCTCAACTCACTTGAATCTTCTTTTATAACAGATTCTTCCAAGTTGAACGGTTCTATATCACCAACTGTCACAGCCAAGACAGTTACAACAGAATTAACTTTGGTTTCTAACAGACGCAACCTCTTCTAGAAACATAACATTGCCTTAGTCCAGTAGATGAGAGTCATTTCAACAATTCTCCACCTTGACTCTCAATTACAAAGTTCCCCAAAAGGATTCCTTCCTATCAGCCCAAAGGGGCTATTACTTCTCTGTAGAATTTACTAAGTCCAGACAGTGTCTGAACTTAGTTGCTGGTAGAGCCTTTGTGAGCATGTCAGCTGGATTTTCTTCAGTGGGTATCTTCTTCACAGTTATTGAACCCTTAGTAACAACATCTCTCACAAAATGAAGTTTCACGTCTATATGCTTAGACCTTTCATGAAAGACCTGGTTTCTGGTCAAGTGAATTGTGCTTTGATTATCACAAAACACTGTTAAAACTTTCTGCTGTATGCCAAGCTCTTCAACCATTCCTTGTAACCACATAGCCTCCTTGATTGCTTCTGTCACAGCAATATATTCAGCCTCTGTAGTTGAAAGAGCCACAACAGATTGGAGATTTGACTTCCAGCTAACTGCAGTACCAAAAACTGTGAAAATGAATCCGGTCAGTGACTTCCTGGTGTCAATGCTCCCTGCATAATCGGAGTCCACATAGCCAACCACCTTTTCCCTTTCATTTTCTTGTTTCTTAAACATCAACCCCAACTCAGTAGTACCCCTCAAATATCTCAGGGTCCACTTCAAAGCTTCCCAGTGAGCTTTTCCAGGATTTGCCATGAACCTGCTTATGATACTGACAGCATAAGCTAAGTCTGGCCTGCTACAAACCATTCCATACATAATGCTGCCAACTCCACTAGTATAAGGGATATTCTCCATGTATGTTTTCTCTTCTTCACTTCCAGGTGCTTGAGAGTTTGACAACCTAAAGTGTTGACCAATTGGAGTGGTAACCTGCTTGGCCTCATGCATATTGAACCTCATTAATACTTTCTGTATATATGACTTCTGAGACAGAAACAAATTGTTCTTCTTTCTATCTCTTGTGATCTCCATGCCTAAGATTTTTGTGGCAGGCCCCAAATCCTTCATATCGAATTCTGAGTTGAGCATACCTTTAATCTTCTGAACTTCCTCCTTGCTCCTGCTAGCTACTAACATGTCATCCACATATAGGAGCAGAAAAACGCTTATTTCATCATCTTGCTTCTTCATGTACACACAGCTATCATAACTGCTTCTAGCAAAACCAATCCTCAGCATAAATTCATCAAATCTTTTATACCATTGTCTTGGGCTTTGTTTGAGTCCATACAATGATTTCTTTAACAGGCAGACTTTGTCCTTGGTTTCAAGAGTGCAATACCCATCTGGCTGGTCCATATAGATAGTTTCTTCCAACTCTCCATGTAGGAAGGCAGTTTTAACATCTAATTGTTCCAGTTCCAAGTCATACTGAGCAACTAATGCTAAAATTAACCTGATTGAGCAATGTTTTACAACAGGTGAGAAAATCTCATTGAAATCGATTCCTTCAACCTGTGTAAATCCCTTTGCAACAAGTCTTGCTTTATACCTGGCCTTTTCAACACTTGGAATGCCCTCTTTCTTCTTTTAAATCCACTTACATCCTACTACTCGTTGATTCTTCGGTCTATCCACAAGATCCCAAGTTTTGTTTTTCATTAGAGATGCTATTTCCTCATCCATTGCTTTAGCCCACTTGTCCCTCTCTTTACTCTTCAAAGCTTCCTTGTAGTTGTTTGGATCAGCCTCTTCTATTTCTTCAGCAACGCTCAAAGCATAGGAGATCATGTCTGCATGGCCAAATCTCTCTGGTGGTCTGATGGTTCTTCTTTGTCTATCTCTCACCAAGTTGTAATCATCCAATCTGGTCTCTGGTTCGGTTTCTTGCTGGTTTTCTACCTCTTCATGTTGATCATTCAAGACAGTCCCTTGATCGGTTAATGTTTGTTGTTGTTGTAGCTCCACCTCAATTGGAATACCATCCTTAGTAACGTTGTTCTTAGTAACATAACTATGCAGATTTGCCATTTTCGACTCATCAAACACCACGTCTCTACTAATGATACATTTCTGTTGGCCAGGCTCCATACACCAAAGTTTATAACCCTTGGTTCCGTGTGGATAGCCAATAAAGATACACCTCAAAGCTCTTGCCTCCAGTTTATCTTGTCTGATGGGCATATGCTAAACATCCAAACACTTTGAGATTGTTGTAGTTGGCTGGTTTCCCATACCACATTTCCAAAGGAGTCTTCATTCCAATAGCTGTTGAAGGGCACCTGTTAATAAGATAACAGGCTGTAGACACAGCTTCACCCCAAAAACTTTTGGGTAGGCCAGCATTCAGCAACATGCACCTCACTCTCTCTAGGAGAGTTCTATTCATCCTTTCAGCTAATCCATTCTGCTGAGGGGTATTTCGAACTGTCTTGTGCCTTGTAATACCATTTTTCCTGCACAACTCATTAAACTGCTCTGAAAAATATTCCAGGCCATTGTCAGTTCTCAAGTGCTTCAGTTTTGTTTCCATTTTGTTTTCAGTGAGAGTTAACCAATCCTTGAACCGTTCAAAAACTTCATCTTTTGTTTTTAGAACGAAAACCCACACTCTTCTAGTGTAGTCATCTATGACAGATAGAAAATACCTCCCACCTCCATGTGTTTGTGTTCTAGCAGGACCCCATAGATCACTGTGAACATAATCTAATGGTTTCTTTGTGATGTGCTTTCCAGTAGAGAATTTTACTCTAGTTGCCTTCCCCAACACACATTGTTCACAAAACTCCAATTTACTAATTTGGTCAACACCTAATAGATTCTGTTTAAACAATTCTTGTAGGCCCCTTTCACTTACATGTCCCAACCTCATGTGCCATAGTCTAGTTTTATCAATTTCAGGTTGGACTACATTAGAGGAGTTACCAATTACAGTTCTCCCGATTAGAGAATATAACCCGTTTTTCCTAATTCCTTTCATGGTAATTATAGAGCCTTTAGTAACTCTAATATAACCATTTTCAGCATTAAAAGAATAGCCACTTGATTCCAACATTCCTAAAGAAATCAGATTCCTTTTAAGTTCTGGTATGTACCTGACATGTTGTAATATTCGTTCAGCTCCATCAACATCCTTATCCTGATTGTCCCACTACCAACCACCCTGCATGCTTTGTTATCTCCAAGCAGTACAGTTCCACCACTGACCAGTTGGAGTGTTTCGAACCAATCTTTATGAGGACACATATGGAAGGAGCAACCTGAGTCAAGAATCCACTCTTTGCTTGATTCTGACTCAGTAATTACCAAAGCTTCAGTCGAATCATAGCCATCAGAGACTACACTTACTTCTCCTGAGTCTTTTGGCTTTTCTTGATATTTTTTCTTCCGATCAGGACAATTCTTCTTGAAGTGTCCTTCCTTGTGGCAATGATAACACCTGAACGGTCCCTTTGATGACTGATTTCCACTTTTCTTTCTTTGTTTCGATCTTGATCTGTTCTGATTATTTCTTGAGTCTCTTCTGTCTGATCTTCCTCTAATAGTAAGACCATCCCCACTATTCTCTTCATCCATATCATGTTTCTTTTGAAGTTCTTTGGCTCTTATTAGGGATTGAACTTCTTCCATTGAAATTGACTGCACCCTTCCATAAAGCATCGCATCTTTAAAATGCTCATAACTCTTGGGGATAGAGTTTAATAACAGCAAAGCCTTATCCTCGTCCTCCATCTTAACATCAATGTTTTCGAGATCATCTATGATTTTATTGAACTCATCAATCTGCTCTGTGATTGATTTTTCTTCATGCATCTTGAAGGAGTACAGGCGTTGTTTCAAGAAGAGTCTGTTGGCCAAAGATTTAGTCATATAGAGCAATTCAAGTTTAGCCCAGAGAGCCTGAGCCGTTATCTCTCTTGACACTTCCCTCAAAGCTTTATCACCTAGGCTCAGAATTATCGCGCTGTGAGCCTTTTCCAGGATACTGTTCCTTTCTTTCTCGGGCATCTCAGTAGGCAAAGCTGTTGGTCCTTGTAGAGCTTCCACAATTCCCTGTTGAACAAGTAAGGCTCTCATCTTTACTCTCCAAAGGCCAAAGTCATTCTTTCCAGTGAATTTTTCAATGTCAAACTTGGCAGATCCCATCATCGAGGTCTGAGTTCCCACAGACGGCGCCAATTGATGTGAAATCAGCCAATAACCACAGACAAACACACACACAATATGAGTCTAAACACTGATCAAGATTGAAAAACAAAGCAGTAATCAAGAACACCAAATATTTACGTGGTTCGGTCAGAGTGACCTACATCCACAGGAAAGAATCAATCTCACTAAGGCAATTAAAACAAAGTTTACAAGATTTAGAACCAGAACTAAATCTCTATCTCTAAACCTCTCTTCTAATCTGTTTTTATCCCTCAAACCCTCTCAACTCACTTGAATCTTCTTTTATAACAGATTCTTCCAAGTTGAACGGTTCTATATCACCAACTGTCACAGCCAAGACAGTTACAACAGAATTAACTTTGGTTTCTAACAGACGCAACCTCTTCTAGAAACATAACATTGCCTTAGTCCAGTAGATGAGAGTCATTTCAACACCTATTGATTATATGGTGCAGAATTAAATAACAGTACAAATAAAAGCAGTGGAAAGTTACCCTTTGGATTGCAATAGGGACTGCGTCAGCTTTGGCTTTTGCATATCCAACAACACCACGATAGTTTACACACACCATCAAAACGGTGTACTTGACCACTTGACCTCCCTGAACAATATCAACTTCAAATGAGTTGCATAGAAATCAATCTAACAAAAAAAACTCAATCAAATTGCATTATATTACCTTTGTTACTTTACAAGTTCGATTTATATCTATCAACCTCAAATCAAAACCCTGTCGTCATTCAACAAAAACAGAGTTAGTTACATGCAACATGAAACTGCTTGAAAAACACAAAGTTGATACTTGAAATGAAACAATGCAAATCATCACATGATTCGGTTAAGGTCGAACAGAGAATCAATATACACAACTGTAAATAGCTCACTAACAACCCTTACAAAATTGAATTGATACAAATCAACCTAAAATAATTTGTACTTCTGCCAGAACCCAGAAAAGTTTATTTTGCCAATCCAAATAAATGAAAATTATATTTCTACAAGTGAGGGCCAGATAATCTACCCATGAAAAGCATGAATATAAATAAAAAATAGGGTAAAGTATAGTAATGGTCACTGAACTTTTCTAAAGCTTTCATTTAGGTCCATCAACTTTTAAAACTTGCAATACAGTCCCCTAACATTTAGTCCGTTTGCAATATGGTCCCCCAACAGTTACATAGGGGGTCAATTGCAAAAGGACTAAATGTTGAGGGACCATATTGCAAACGGACTAAATGTTGGGGGATTGTATTGCAAGTTTTAAAAGTTGAGAGACCTAAATGAAAACTTTAGAAAATTCAGTGGTCATTACTATACTTTACCCTTATTCTAATTGTGCTTCTTCGAAATCCAGTTTTATAATAATTTCAGTAATGAATAACCAAAGTGATTATTTCTAAAAATGATTTAGTAGATACAAGAAAAATAGAGATAAAAAAAATTTTTGAAATTTATCTAAAAAATAAAAATATATAACGTGTGTCGAAGACACACGATTTCATAAACACGAATATAAAATAAACCGAATGAAAACAATACATTCAATAGCTAAATATATATTTAAACACCTAATACCACACACTTCTTTATTATTTAAACATTTGATGATCATTTATTGAATAAAATTTTTATATAAAAACTTCTTTTCAATCATTCTAATTTGACGTAATTTAATATTGAATAAATCTTTTTGAACTTTTTACTTGTTATATTTAAATAAACCCTTAAATTTAATTGATGTCTAAAATAGTCTTTAAACTTTAGTTGGTGGGTGAATGAACCCCTAACACACGACATATATCCAACTGGTTCATATGATGCAAAAGTAACCTATTTATCATTCATTATATTGTATTTTAAAATATTCAATGTTAATAAAAAAATATTATTAATTAATTCTATAATTTTATAGTACAATATTTATTTTTCTCTAGCATTAATATATTCTAATTATTGTTCGATATAGTGATGAAAAGTTTTTATGGTTCGAGTTATAAGAATAAGGTTTATTTTGGTATAACTTTTTTAAACAAAGTGACGTAGAAATAACTTTTAAAATTATTGTATAAAAGTGCACTTTAAAATTTAATTGTTTTAGATTGCGGCGGTTGAAAAATGTGTTTGAAAATATTAAATGTCCATTATAGACATTATGTTGTAAATTGAAAATATATCATTTAAATTATATTCACATTTATATATGAATCAAATCAATTTAAACTATAATAAATTCAAAAAACATATTATATATAAATTATATCAATTTAAACTATAACAAAAATATAAAAGTACTCTCTATATATAATTATAATATTATATAGCTCACTATTAATATTCTAATATATGAATCATAAATTTTATTTATTTTAAATAGTTAAATTAAATTATTTAAAGTAATAAATTATTTTTTGAAGGATGTTAATATTAAATATTAAAATAAAATGTAAATACATAATTGAGTAGAGCTCATGCAGTAGTAAGAGTAAAATTATAATGTATTTTAAACGCAAAGTTAAAAACTGTAAAAACTAAAAATTTTAGCTTTTGTGGTTGATTTGAAACCATCATATGCATTGCATTTTTTCCTTATTTTTTATCCGTATGATATTGTTTTATAGATAAAATTGATTTTTTGGCTAAAAATACTTTTAAGAAGCTTTATCAAACGGACCCTAATAATATATTATGTGAATTTTTATAGAAAAGCTTATTATCAAATATATCTCTAACGTTTCGTGGAATAATTATTTTAGTTCATGTTTTTTATTCTAATATACTTTACTGTTTGAAGTTTTATTTTAGTTAAATTAACTCTTCTTTAAATAGAAATTGTTAGTTGACTTGAGAATTACAAGTAAATAAATGCCTAGAAAATGGCTCAACAACTATTCACCAAGCTAATTTAGTTATTCTATTATATTTTGACAAAAAAATTATTTTTTAGATTGAATATGTTGGTTTAAAAGTGAAAACATTATTGGATAAACTATACCAAGGACAATCAAATTATAGTCTCTTTCCATTTCGACAATAATTGAATTTTTTTCAATCAGGTCATCTGACTATTTAAATACATTCAATCATGTCACTTGTTGTTAACGTTTAATATAAGTGTTGACGTAGCAGTTAATAAAATTGGTATAATTACATATTTGATCACTATTACTTATGAATTCTATCAATTTGGTCCTAATTTTAATAAATTAAAATAAATTTAATTTTCGAATCAGATCATACCATATGTTACTAATGTTAAATATCATGACACGTGTTACTACATGATTAGAGATGCATATAGCCGGATTTAAATCCGATCCGGATAGGATAAAAACCGATCCGGTTTTTTCACCAAGCCAAAAAATCGGTTTATAAAAAAACCGGTTCGGATCGTAACCGGTTTGGAGGGCCGGATGATGTAACCGGTGTAACCGGTTTCGGTTTGAAAAAAATCAGTTTTTTAAAAAAACCGGTTTTTAATCCGGTAAAAAATCCGGTCATCCAATTTTTTAAAACCCAGACTGGATTTTTTCCGGATAAAAAACCTTTTTTTATCAAGTTTTTTTCGAACCGGTTTTTAATCCGATAAAAAATCCAGTCGTCCAATTTTTTCCCAAACCGGTTATACTATCCGGTTTTAAAATATCCGATCCGGTTTAAAAAACCGATTTTTCCCAAATCCGGTTTCGGATATTTTTTGCGCAAAATCGGATATTCGAATTTTTTGTACACCTCTATACCTGATTAGAGAATTTAATTTATTTTAATTTAATATATTTAATTTTCACCGATCATAGAGTGATTCAAAACTGCAACCCTTGGGGAGAAAGGAGAAGCCCAACCACTGGGGCCAAGTTCATTTTTTTTAAAATAGACTACATTATTGTATATATCTTGTTTTTTAATATAATCTTAAATTCTTAATATTAAATATTTTAATCTTTATCTTACTTATAAAATATATTTTATTCTTACCTTAACTTAAAAATATATTTTATTTTTATCTTAACTTGATACATATATTATATTCTTAACTTAAATTATTAAATATATTATATTCTTATCTTAAATTATTAAATATTATTTATTCTTATCTCAACCCAAAAATATATATTTTATTTTAATTTAAAAATGTATATTTTATTCTTATTTTAATTTAATAAATATATTTTATTTTTATCTTAAATATTAACAATATTTTTTTATCTTAATTTTAAAATATTATAAGAATAAAATTTAAATATTTAAGTTAATATAAAAATTAAAATACAAGGTACCAGTGCAAATGTTGAAGCCAAAGTACTAAAGTTCTATATATATCCCTCCGTGGTGAGAGGAAGGATATAATTCGTGAGATATGGGTGTAGAATTCAGCTCCCATAATTGCATGTTATGATTTATATAGGGGTTTTTCACTTCTCACTTGGTACATTGCTAAAGTACCAAAGCTCCATCCCTGCTCCTTATGTCCTGCAGATGTATCAACCTATTCAAACACCTTTGCAGTGACCGAAGAGAATTCAAGATTAAATATTTGAAATTGAATGTCATTATCTCAGTTCACAACATTTCACTCCATAACCACGGTAAAAGTTGTTTGGTATGAGAGCCGGCGCCTCCTTTGATCTGTGAATCGAGCATTGAAATGAGGAAGTCTGGCGGTATGAACCCCATACAGACTTCCTACATTGTCGTAACCCCATCCGGAATATCGAGTAATCTGGCTAGATGAAGCCGACCAGATGGAAGCTATAAGATCATGCGCAGGAGCATTGATCGGTGTCACCCCTCGATGTTGAAGTCTGAAAGAGAGACACTGGAACTGATGCTGTTAGTTCTTGATCATTAGAACTTGTTGGTGACGGCGCTACCATATGCCAACAATTCCTTGAGTTAGAAGATGGCGGATAAGCTTCAGCTAGGGCATCCGATTGAGAAGTCAAGGTCAAACTCTGGAAGCTCACTTGGATCACTAGTATCTCCAGAGCTGGCATCCTCCTCTTCGAGGTCATATTCATGCTCCACAAACGGATTAGACACAACTATTCAAGTATGGTACCGTAACCTATGGTTCATACAAGTCATGCGTGACGTCCTCTATTAAAAGCTCGAAGACTAGGAGTGCTTACCAGGGAAGTGATGATGTTGAATATCCACCATTGATTGAAAGACAAATCTATCACGAATGTCATCCATTTGAGCCTGCAACGAGGCCTCAACCTCATGGAACTTATGAAAAATAAAAAGTAGATGAGAGACCGATACGACCACAGTTCATACATATCTTGCTAATAACCTCATCATAGTCACATGGATTGCGGTACACTCCGGTACGGAAACGTGGAACGGGATCGCAATTCGCTAGGTCCCTAAAATTCGGTACGAGGGGTAGGTTTATTTTGGATCGCTCCGGTACGATGTACTATATAAATTGGTACGATGTACCAGTTTCTTAGTTGCTATTTTTCTACATCAAATTTTATAAATAACTTCAAGACTTGAAATATCTTAGAGTAACTTCAATACTATAGATTTCATTCAGTAAATAGAAATCCAAGGGTCGGTCAACGTTGTTCTTTCCCGCGACATAGTGTGGATTGAATTGAACAGTCGAATTGATGAAATTGGTTGTCTGTTAGCATTTTTTATTGTCCAGAACGATGAATCGATGGCTTCAAATCGCGATTTGAACATCAATTGGGTCGATTGGATGGTCAATTTTGGATCGTATAAGCTTTCGTACCTAATCGCGATTTTGAAACGACTTGGACCGTATTCGTACCGTATTTTAGATCGCAGCATATAATACATAGATCGTATGTAGCTATGAACCTCATATCCACTTAATACAACCGTCATCAGTTTTGTAAAGCACCCCGGGTTTTAACGGTCGCCGGGGATTAATTCGAATTCTCACTCCCATGTATAAAATAATTGTGGGCAGCCAATGATCCCAATCAATTGCAACTATCTCCCAGCAGTCTGTGCAACTCTTTGAATAGCAAACGGACGATGATGATCAAATGACAATCCCTATAGTTGCATCCATGATTCAACCCAAGAAAATAATTATCGATCAAGTTCACAGTTAGGAACCAAAGGTGTAAGCATGAAGAAAGCACCATCTACTGAACATGGTCCTCTGATCAGTACCTGGTTCAAGCCAACTGCATTTTCGAATCTAAGCACAAAATAATTGTCATCCGTCCAATAATTGTAAACGAGCAACGAAGTCTCCAGATACAGGATAAAGTATTACGCATGAAAAAAAAAAAAAACAGAAAACCGACGTGTATCATGGAGATATCCCATAGCAAAATTTTCTGAATTCTAACGACTTACCGCAGTTTTATTCATGAAGAACGGAATTATCGGACTACGTGTCAAGAACAGAGAATTGGAAGGGAGACTTTAGGAGAAGAAACTAGAGTGCCTTAGAGGAATGCTTTTGACCCAAAATTCCATTTGAAAGGCAAAAGTATTCTCAAACAACTCTTTTTTAGGCAAAAATTTACGTGTGAAACGTGATTATTGACTGCTGGTTTTACATTGTTTTTAAAAAGTGATTTTAAAAGTATTATTCAAATATACAATTTAAAATTTAATTGTTTGAAATTATTCTTAAAAAGTGAGTTTAAAAAGATAAAATTTTCATTATAGATATTTTGTTGTATTTAAAAAGTGAGTTTAAAAAGTATAACATTTAAATTGTATTTACTCTTATATTGAATTGTATTAGTTTAAATTAAATAAATTGAAAATTATTATTATATATGAATTATATCGATTTAAACTATAATAAAAATATAAATAATATAATATAATTATAATAAAAATGTAAGACCCCCCACACCCCGAGTTAGTGGTTCGGATTGACCCGAGACTCGTTATTAAAGCTCAAAGGATTTAGTAAGATGGTTGGATCAAAATTAATTAGGATTTAAGCCTTGGGGACAAGATTGTTATGAAATATGAGGAAGGGGACTTAAATTGTGATTTTACCATTTTTCAAATCATGAGCTAAACCTTATTTTTCTGATAATAACGTGAACCACTTCCATATCTTCCTAACCAAACACTCTTCCTCATATCTCTCAATCATCTCTTCACTCTCCTCTCCTTTAAGTGAAGCTCTAAGGATTTCAATTTTTAGTTGAGTTATCTAAGGTAAGAAAGTTAATTCTCCCTTTCTAGAGCTCCATTTCAAGTCTCATATGTCAAGTTTTAAGCTTTAAACCAAAAATGGGTTTTTGTGGGGTTTATGAAATAGAGAATTCTAGCTTGTGTTGGGGAAGGATGAACTTTAAGAAATGTTTTTAGACTCTTAGTAGTCTCCTAAATAAGTTAATAACATAATTTCTTTATGCATTAGTGAAATAAGTTGGAGAAGAGTCCAAAGCAAAGGGAAAGAAAAGTTAACTTTGGGGTGAATTGGGACTCTTTCCAGCTATCAAGACCTTAAGGTAACACCCTTATAACCTTCTTATGTCAATTGTAAGTATTACCATGCATTTATGTAGCTTGCATTAGCTTTGAAAGATTTAAAAGTATGATCATGGTAGATTTTGAATTTATGTGTTTTTAAACTATATGATGCCTTTTTATAACCCTAATAAACTTAAATAAGATACTAATAATGGTTGGGGCATCCTTAGGGCCTTTAGGGTGTTTTAGAAGTGTTGAAAATGCTCAAACATGGCATTTTTGAGTATCAGTATCGATATTGTATAGATCAATATCAATATTGTTCTTATTCAAGGCAAAAATACATGAGTTTTAAGTAGAAGTATCGATATTCATGCATAGGGTATTGATATTATAGGCCCGATATCGACACCTGAGTGAAAGGTATTGATACTGAAAATTCTAGAATACAATTTTGGTACCGATACTCATGGGAGTATCGATACCAAGGGTTGAGTATCGATAATCCCCATAGAGGTATCAATACTACCTTTTTTCTCAAGGTAAATTTTAAGCTGTTGATATCAATACTCAAGTAGGGGTATTGATATTCCCGGGTCAGTATCGATACTACCTTCTTTTCAAAGATAATTTTTTTTTTTGGGAATTTTAGAAACATGGTTGAGGGACCCAAACCACTATTTAATCCTTAAATAAGAACTCAAATGAGAACGATATTGACAAGTAAATTTTCACTTAAAAACCCTAAAATTTAGAGAATCATAAGACTTACCTTGTATGATGTTCGGGAAACAAGACGGACACCCAAATCACCCTATAATAAGGAAACATTTGTATGCTAAGATATGACCAACTCTAAGGAGGTGCATTAGGCACATCTTTGCTAATTGAGCGTAGATGCCCCAAGGCTCGAAGGAGCAGGTTAGCGGGTGACGCACTTAGAATTCCAGATTTCCACCCTATATAGGATAAAGGGGTGCGTGAGCTCCAAGATGTAGCCCCTCAGCTGCACCATGATGCATGCCTTTGTATGTATGTTTTAGATATCATACTCGTATGCTAGCAAGTATGAATTAATTATGTTTTAAGTATGATCAATAAATGATGCATGAAGTTTAGATTGGTTATTAGTGTGGCACTAAGCTTGCTAAATGTTTGAAATTTGTTTCCGTGCGTAGGTTATTATCAAGATCATTTTGGAGGAGCCTTACCTAGACCAGATAACATCAGCCGCCAGCTTTGAGTATGTCTCTACTTTTGTACTAATGTCATGTATTGTAAATGAACTCGTGTATGTCAGGTCAAAATGTAATGTTTGAATATTTTATATGTAACATCCTCAATACCGGGTTAGTGACCAAATTGTAAAGTTTCAGAAATTGGTGATTAAAGTAGGATAATTGAATAGTTCAATGAGTTATTAAAATGAGGAAGGTTATTTAGTAATTATTGAATGAATTAAAGGGTAAAATGGTAAATTGACAAGTAAGATTTTTTATATTCCTTTTATAAGAAAAGGAACCACGTGAAAAAAGGAGAGAATTATCCAGAGTTTTCTTTCTTCTTCTTCCTCCTCTCGTATCTCCAAGCTCAAAGGTGAGTTTCTTTGTTTATGGATTAATTGTTGATTTTAAGGTTGAGTTTTGATTATTATATGATAACTAAGCTTAAGGAAAGCTTAAGTTATATTAAAACCAAAAGTATGATGGAGTTAGAAGGGATTAAAGATTTGAGGTTTTTAGGTGGAATCTTGAAATAAAGTTCATAACTAGAGAGTTGGAAGTTAAATTTGACTTGTCAACGGTCTAATTAAGAAGTTAGAAGCCATAGAATTGGAATTAAAACATATTGCAAAGTTGGTTTAATTCTTGAGTTACATATGAGGAATTGAATTTTAAAGTTAAAGATGGTTTATATGGATATAAATTGGTTTAAGCATGTGTATATGAGTTGAGAACATGAAAGGGGATGAAAGATGAAGCATTTGAGTTGATTTGAGTAGATTTTTGGGCTTAAAAATGAATTTTGGGCTATGTGCACCGATGCATCAAGGGTAAATTTCCAGAATTTTTCATTGTGTATCGGTGCACAAGAAGTGCATCGATGCACCCATTAAAAATGGAAACATCGAATGCAATTAGTGCATCGATGCACCCCCTTAAAATGAAAACATCGAAGGTGATTTGTGTATCGATGCATGGGTAGTGCATCGATGCACTTCAAGGGAAATAGAATTATACTTTTCTTTTGGTCTATGAAATGATAGATTAGTGTATATCAATTGGATATTAATATGTGTCAATGTATGATTATATAGATATCGAGCACGAACAAGTCCCGGAACGATTATCAAGTTATGATTCGATCCCAAGAGAGGAAATTATAAAAATAGATTGGAACTCAGTGAGGCCAAGGTGAGTGCACATTATTTTATATATGATGTTTAATGGGAAATAAGACTTGCGATGCGTCTATTTTCTATAGTATTGTGCATGAAGCATGAACATGAACATGTGTTTGTTATGAGTGTCTGAGTTATGTTATGGTATGTGTTAACATTATTGTATATGTATTTCATGGTTGATGTAATATACTATGTTATGATGATAAACTATATGATATGATAAGAAATTATATGAATATAAAAGAGAAGTTATATGATAAGACACAAAAATAAGATATAAGGAATGTGACAAGGAAATGTGAAATAGTATGAAAAGTGGATATGAGCTACGTGATATGTGGAAGTGATTTACGTGTTTATACGTATA